GGAAGGAAGAAACGATAAAACGAGAGAGGCGACGAAAAGAGATTCCGTTCGAGTAGAAAGTTTGCCAGGATGGGGAGGGCAAGTTATTTGCATAAGTGGACGGCAACGAAAGTGGAAACCGCCTTCCACGCGCGCGATAGTAGGAGCGCGATACAACCGATTTTCAAGAATATCCGCACCGATCTCGATCCGCAGCCGGAGCGAGCGTGACATAATCGAAGAGTTATGTCCGGGGCTCCGTGGAAGAATTCACGATGGGCGGTCCGCGTCAGCTGGTTGAACCTTGCGGGAAATATATCTGGTATGGAATAGAAAGTTTCCACGGAAGGGGCCCGTTCCGGCTTTCCGTAATCGTCCAAATCTCAAAGATTCTCCTGCGCGGAGGAATCTCCTCGATTTCGTCGATTCGACCATTTCGATATCGAAAAATTAATTTCTCCTCCATTTATCGTTTCGAAGAAATTTTGGAGAAAGCGTCGGCCAAACATCGATCGCGAACCATCTTTCTTCCTTTCGTCATAGATCGAGCGAGTGAATCCGAGAGTAAGTGTGTCGGTTGCCGTTTGTTCGAAAGAATTCGAAAGAGTAAGCCTCTCTTTAAGTAAGCGTTCTCTTCATTCGAAATTGTACGGTTTTTCGCGTAAGAAATCGACACGGCTTCAAATTTTGTTACGCTCTCCGATGAATATGCATGCGGAAGCACAGCGGATTTGCGAGGAACAGGTTCGCGTTTCTGAAATCCGAACGCAAACTGAGAATGGAAATTCGTTTCTTCTTCTTCTTCTTCCTTCGTTTCTTTCGATTTAACCGATAAGTTATGCTGCGTTTAAAAACGATCCAACAATTTTTTTTTTCATATCCCTCATTTTTGTATATAATAAGAGCAATCAAGTTATTCATGGTAAAAAAAAAAAAGGGTATTATTGTTGCGATTTTTTCACGAATCGATTTGTGTATCGATTTACTGTTCCTCCGCTGATATTACGGGGACAAGCAATCCGCGGAATAATCACGGAAATCGATGTTCTACTTTTAAACTACTTGTGAAAGATGTAGTTACGATCAATCGTAATATCGCGAGATGCCGCTACAATAATCATCTCTCTCTCGTTTTCTCTTCTCTTCCGTACATGCTCTCCTGTTAATTGCCAATCTCCCGAAATTTCGTAATCGTAGAAAGAACGTGGGAAGAAAGTTCGGTTTCGATTCTGTTAAATTCGAACGAAAAGAAGATTTCGAATGTTGTTCGAGTGTTCGTCGACAGCGGTGATCGGGTTTGTTTGGTGGAACGATATTCGAGAATCAGCAGAGGATCTGCCAAAGTCACCGAAGAAACGCTAGACGAGCATTCCTTGCCGCAGAATGCTCACACCCACGAGAACTGCTTCTAAACCGGTAGAATCCAGTTGGTAAAGCGATTTATAATCCCGAAGTAAACTCATACAAGTGTGTTAATTATATCGATCGGTGCTGAAAACATTTTCAAAGTATCTCTGAATTCAAATCCGACGATTAAGAAACCAGTTCTCGCACCAATTCCACCATTTCTCTCTCTCTCTCTCTCTTTTTCTCTCTCTTTTTCAACCAAAGATTCTTCCTTTTTTTTTTATACCTTTTCGCCCGGACAAGACAGCTCTCTGTCGTTTTAACTTTTTCGTTCCGCGACGTTCCACGTTCCACCGAATTTATGATATTATCGATAAAACGCAATCCATTTGTCACTCGAACGTATTTTCCCCCGCGCTACGTTTAGAATTACGCGCACGACAACACGGCAAAACATCGACGGCAAATACAAATGTCTCTTTAAAATCGGGATAAAGTAGATTATTTACTTGTCCACCAAATATCTCTGGCGTATCGCTTGAAAAAGTGAAACGAGTTAATTAATCCCCAGTATCTTTAAATGCACGAACCTAACGTGAAACTCGAACGTTAACAATCGAATCAGAAACGATTACCACTTTCGCTAATTAAAACGAACGTTGGTAATTTTTTCAACTTTTCCGTGATCGTTGATTGCTTTCGAGTTATGAAAAAAAAAAAAAAAAAATCCCCAACGAAAAAATACGAAACCGATCGATTCGCCGCGAAACACGATTAGAAACGTATCGGTCCAAGAACAAGAATCGCGCCTGTGTGGAGGCTGCGTGAAATGAAAATCGACGGATCCCTTGGACGGCAGCCCGCGCGGCGCGCAAACTAGACGCATGCCATCGGGAAACGCGTTCGCGGAACCTGTTAACCTCCGAGCCAGAGAGAGAGAGAGGAGGAGAAGGAGAAGGAGGAAAGAGATAGAGATAGAGAGAGAAAGAGAATTCGTTGTGGCCGATTCCGATGGATTCCGGACGGTGTAGTCGGAAACGGAGACGTCATCCGGCCGATATCTCGAGCATTGGAACGACGACGTCGTCGCTGACGACAAACGTCACGTCTCCCCTCCTTCTCCGCTCGCGGATTCTTCTTCTCTCGCACAGTGCGCGTATTGTACGTTACGCAGATGCATGCACAAGAGTAAACTTACGTACGTACGTACGAACGTACGCGACGAGCAACGGTGATAATGACGATCGAGACGCGTGAACGCGATGCGACACGAAGGAACGAGCGCGCAAATATCGCGTATTGGGATGGATTATTCATCGTCACGAGTCAAAGCGCGCACGTACGATTTAACCAGAGCCACCACAGTTTTTCTTCATTTTGCCGGGCCGGAAAAAAAAGAGCGTACGATTTATCTCATCTCCGGATCATCTCGGGACCATCTCGATCCCCGGATTCCGCAATTCTGCTCGGTCCGAACCATGCTTTAAACCATCCTCGAAACGTGTTGTCGAGTAAGTAAGTCCGAATATATATATATATATATATATATATATATGTACACCGGTGTTATGTATATATATATACGTGGTATACACGTATACGGAGAAAGAGAAAGAGAGGGAATAAAGAAACGGAATAATGACTTACTGTGCGCGGCAAAGGTCATGATGACGTCGCTCTGGTCGATGGCCCTGAGATCCTGACCGGTGAGGTCGAACTCGCCGGCCCTACGTTGCTGCTCGCCGATCGGCTTCTCGTCCTCGTCCTCGCCAAGAGCGTTCTTGTATATGTCCAAGAGAAACTTGGGCGCCGACCTCTTGACCTGCGGCGGCCTACCGGCCGTGTTCCTCGGCCGATCCGGCAATCCAAGAAGATTCAGTATCTCGTGCTCGACCTCCCGTTTCTCGCGCTGGCTGACCACCCTGTGCACGATGGTCTGGTCGAAACCGTTGTCGACGTAGAGGCCGCTCATCCTGTCCGCCGCGGCGGTGCTCGTCAGCCCGGCGAGGATCGTGCCGAGGATCAGCAGGGGCGCGAGACGGCGCGGCGACATCTCGCCGCGTCTTCTTTCCGCTCGAGATCGGCCGGAAGCCACCATTCCCCCGCTTCCACCACCACCTCCACCAGCACCACCTTCCCCTCCTCCTCCTCCTACGTCGGCGTTCGCACGACGACGACGTGGTCGTCGTCGTCGTCGTCGTTCCTATCCAGCCACCACCAACGACGTGGACACCGACCAACCACCGACCCGATCGATCGATCGATCGCCCTTCGCGCACTCTATTATTGTTATACCGTACGACCGTTACACACACCGCGCCACTTGTTTCTTCCTCCCGAATGCCACCGATTATTGTCCCTTGCTTCTCTCCCTCGCCTTACGCGCACCTCGTCCTCCACCTTCTTCTCCTCCTCCTCCTTCTTCTTTGACTCCTTTTCGCCCCGATTTTTCTCTCTTCTCTCTTCCCACGATCTCTACCAACTCCTCCTTCTCCTTCGAGATACGAGACGAAAACCGTTGATCCGACGAACACACCCGATCGATAACTTTTCCTTCCCGTCTTTTATCCCGCCAATGATGAATTTATCCGCGCACAGAATAAGTACAGAGTGGTAACTAATCTCGAGGTCGATCGAACCCGATTCCACGCACTCTCTCTCTCTCCCCTCTCTCTCTCTC